ATACAACTGGAATATATAATGATTATAGTGTTTATCTTTGTAATGGTATAGCATCTGGTACGACAGCAGTATCATCAGGTCGTGTTAATCAAGCTATCTCATTTACATCAAGTACAAGCTACTTTGAATCACAATGTTTTCCAAGAATGCGTGGAAGCGATCAATCATTTTCGTTTTCACTTTGGGTTAATCCAACATCCACGACAGGGGGTGGTACATTGGTGCATTTATCTACTAATTCAAATGGGAATGGAACTTGTTATGAGCCTCTTGTTTTTACAAGCACGGGTGATTTAGTATTTCAGTGGATGACAACAGGACCCACAAGTGTTAGTAATGCTGAAGGTCCTGTGATATCAGCAAATACATGGACTCATATAGCTGTTGTATATGGTTTTACAAATGGTGTACGTCTTTTTATTAATGGACAATTTAGTACTTCATCACCAAGTAGTGGATCTATCAATCTATATAATAGCATTAATGTTCCATGGTATATCATATTAGGTAATAAGAGTCCATTAGGATCATCAGCATCGATTAGCTGTTCAAGTGGTTCTATACCGATTTCATCAGGATTTTTTTCAGGCTCTATTGATGAATTTCGACTTTATAATCGAGAATTAAACAATCAAGAAATATGTGTACTTGCTAATGCATAAACTTGAAATGAGAAAATGACATTTTTATTCATAGAATATCGCAGATTGTTTGCCTAACAGTTTGCTTGTGATCCTTAACTATCATTTATCCTAACTTTTCTGAAATATAATAAAGAAAATTAGCTGCCAACAATGTTCTTTTTTGTATTTGAATAAAAATCTTCAAATAAAAAGAGATCGGTTTGATGCAATACTGTCTGGGAATAGATTGCTTGCAATGAATTAGAAACCTGTATCGGAGTCATTGTCAAGTTTTTTTTATGTCCGTCATACAAACCGATATGTTTTGGAAATTCAGTAAACTTATTATTATGTAATCCATGTAGATTATAATGAATATCTTGATGAACTCGGTTTATTTTGTAATTTAAGATAATCTCTTATTATTTATTCATGTAACTAAATTGAATAATTTAGAGTAGGACATAAAATTTTAGATATTTATTATGACTGACCAAATTTGTCGGATACTGAGTACTAATGGAAAGGTATCGGTTACAGCTAATTGGATTCAATTCAAACGAATACGAAAAACTAGTATCCATGTTTAGGACACTAATTTGCATAAATAAAACTATTGACAAAAGCGATGAACTTCATTTTTATACTTGTATATTCAATGAATAAGTAATGAATTACGTATAATAATTGTTTGACAGTATTTATAAATTTAGTCGTTATCTATTTGATCGGAAAACAAAAGCAAATTATTAATAAATGAAATGAACAATCATCAGTTCATCTAACATTTTGAATTCGCACAACATCAATCGTAGTTGCCAGGAAGTTTTCACAAAGACAACTCACAATGTATCCAATAATAAGGTATTCAATATGTCATCATGGCAAAGAATAATCTATTTATCTGGCTTTAAATTTGATATTTTTCTCCTGGTTAATATAATCAGTATGTAAAAAGTTTTTACACAATATCTCTGCTCGCTTTTCGTCCACGTATAAGTTCAAAGAAAATTTGATGCTCTTTTTAAATATATACTCAGAATTTTTTCTGACTTAGAATTGAATCATTGAGAGAAAATCTTTGATGATGATAAAAAACGACGTCTGTACAAAACACCATTGTCAAAGGTCTTGATAAATATGTTTGCTCATTTGTCAAACATTTATATGTAATTGAAGAGGATCAACAGCAGCTGATTAGACCAGAATTTTATGCTCTATCTAAATATATCGTTAGAATTTCTATTTCATGTACGATTAGTTAGCTGTAAGCAAATATCGGAATAAATGGAAAAAAACGTCATTCGTACTACACAAAATAGTCTTTCTTCCTGTCAGTCATTATTTCTCTAAAGAATATTTCAGGATAATTTTATTTCCTATTGTTGTAGAGAATTTAATCTTCTACAAAATCATAGGTTCCAATAAACTAAGTAGAACTCAAATGAATCAAAAGCTAAAAACATTTTTCGAAATGCTACTCTTTGCATGAGATAATATTTTTCAGAATGATTGCTCTTTTGCAAATTTCAGTATTTAAAATGCAACAGATTCTGATAGTGTCCAATAATAAGTAGGAGGCGAAACAAATTGAGCATTTTGAAGAGCAAGCTTGGTTCTGCAAATTGAAGTGTAAGAAGAATTTTTTATAATTTGAATTGATTCAGTTTTAATCAAAATAAGAAAAAAATGAACTACATGAAAAATTCTGTACAAACATAATTTTTGTTCCCATGAAAGATTTTTCCTCAATGAATCAACTCCAAGTCAGATAAAAATCCTGAATATTTATTTAGAAAGAACATGAAATTCTCATTCCAGCTGACTCCTTTTTATTCTCTTTTACAACTCATAAGTAGATGAAAATTGAGCAGAGATGTTGTGCAAAGACTTTTTTACACGCAGATTATATTTTCAAGATGGAATAAGTAGTATAGAATGTCATTATGTGTTATAGCTTAAACAATTTATTGATATTAATCAATTTGTTATATTTTCTCAAATACAGTTCAGTAGTACAACAAACACATCGAGAGCGGTCATTTTCTTATTAAACTCACATAAACCAATGTCTTGACTGTAACTAATTCGTAAATAGTAAAATCAATTCATTTTGATTTACAGAAAAAATAAAGTATCCATACGTTTTTACATCCACGTCGCTCAGTTCCAAATAGAAAGTACATCTTCCATAGACACTAAAACGTACACATATCATAGTTTTACATGCAACTAGAGGTGTAAGTTGATGCATTGATCGGTGTCAGCGGCTGACTTTGCCCTAACTTTTTTCTCTGACGGCGACAACTGAGATTTTTCGATGAGTTCTTTTCAACATTATTTTTTGAGATTCGAGACATTCTGAAATGAAACAGAAAGAAAACGGTAATAGAACAGTTATTCATAAGAAACTAGGCAAGAGCCTCTCCAAAAACTGATTTCGGATGTCGGAAATTTCTCAAAATCAAATATCTATTTTTGGGTCGTGGCGACAATGGCTGGAACTTTCAATAACTATTTTAGGCAACAACAGTGGCAATTTCTCGGTTAATTGGTTTACACATTTACATATAGCTTGTATCAAACATTGAAAATATAAAAAGACAAACATAAAACCTTAAGATTTGGGAAACAGACGTTTACAAAAGTTCTCTTATTCGTAAAAGATAATCATGATAGTTTCTACTCTGTAGAGTACATGCTGTTTATGAAATAGCAGTTAAAAGTATGCAAAAAGAGATCATTCATTTCGTTATCGAATTAATTGTCATATAAGACTTAAGAAGCAACTATGGCTTGATTTTTGAAATAACTCAATAAATTAATGCAAAACTCGTCGCAACAACAAATAGAAAAAGGAAAACATGCATACAATGGAGTGTATTGAGGAAATATGAATTTGAGTACGGCATATTATCGAAGCATTATAATGAGAAGTATCGAATAAACTTAATTACAAAAATAATTAAGACTTCTCACTAATAATTTGTTGAGTAACTGTAAGCATTTCTTTGTTTTTTTTTACCTTTTGAATAAAAGAGAGCAAAAAAAACAATAGTTATAGTCTGAAATCAATAAGGTTTCATTACTTGAAATAATACAATTAATAAAACTTCTCAGATTTCAATATAATTCATCAATAGTGCAAGTCAATCATAATATTTCAAAACAAAATCAATCTTCGTTGCATATTTCATTTTTTCTTTACATATTCTTTGAATACTTTGGAGACACATATCCAATAATGAATAAAGCAACAATTGTTGGAAAAAGCGGTGTGGCTCGTATCGAACATGTACCACGAATAAGCATTATTAAAAGAAAGGTAATAGTTTCAATCCTTAGTATAGTTTCTACGAATTTGTTATATAGGTAAAACCATTTGATAATAATGAACATTACCATTCCACAACGAATACTAATACAATCATCCGTGAGAGTCTTCGATCGGTTTCACCAGAATGTATCTCAATACAGCAATCGACTTTGAGAAGCAGTGATTATAATAGTGACCAATTAAAAACTGAAAAATTATCATCATCAGATATTCCTGAATCTTCATTATCCCCAACCAATAACAAAATTAATATAATAAAACAGACCAAAAATTGTGGACATCGTTTTATCAATTGGTTTAAGTAAGCCATTATATGTTCGCTCATCATATGTAAATAACAGGACTAAATTGTTCAGAGAAAAATAAATAACATTGGAACTATATACTTTTAGTTCAGATAAAAAGATTTGACTAATGTTTTCTCATATATCAGCATTTTAAATTCGATATTGAATAGAAACCTCGTACAAATTTCTTTATTATTTCACTCTGTCATCTAGCTCGAACGATAAGAAGGTCTACATGTATGACCAATCCTGTAAACAGAAAAGAGCGATGGGACAGAGCTTTCTTAAGTTAACACCAAATATTGATTATAACTCGTGTTTGACAAAGAGCTGAGAAAAATAAATGTTTAAGACATAATTCTCTGATCTTTTCTTTTTTTATCATTCATTATTCTAATATTAAATTGATAGTTTCTACGTACCTACCATACAACGATTTGTTGGCTTTCTCTTTATTTAGTCTTTTGACATTCAAACAAAAGATACTTTTCGGATTAATCATTGCAATTATTATAATCTCGATTCTTGTAGTTACTATTATACCACCTATATATATATTCGTCATTCGTCAAACTCATTCTGAATGTAAGTAAATTATTAAAACTAAGAAATAAAATATCATTCAT